CCGGCCCAGTTGTGACAGGCCTCCAGGGACAGCTCCCCTCCCCGCCCAAACCGGCGCAGCCCCAAAAGGAGGTGCGGCCCATCCTCCGCGCACCTTTTGCCTCTCCTTCCTCTGGCTCTCGGTCTCCTCCAAGGGTGCCTCCAGCTCCATAATGTCCCCCCAGAGGAGTTTCCCAGGCATCATTCGCCGCCGCCGCCGGCGCCACCGCCGCCGCCGCCGCCTCCCTCTAAGCAAGGCGGCCACAACCACCTACTGGCAGCGACGGCGTAAAAGGAAGCGGGGGCAGGGCGGCCGCCCGGCCAGGGCCGTGCGTCACTTCCGGGGCACGCACCGCACGGCGGGGGAAAATAACCCCGGACACTCTGTTTAAATTCTTCTCTTGCGACGCAATCTCCCAGCCAATGAGTGTGAGCGGTCTCGACTGGTCCACCCTTGTTCTGAAGTGATTGGCTTCTAGAGTAAAACCCTGGCCAATCGCCATAAAGGACGCACGAACTGATTAGCATAAAATGATTGGGGGGGCGGGTTCTCTTTCTGTCCTCCTACCCCGCTTGAAACATTTCTCCTCGGCACCCCGGAGATGCTTCGGGCCCTCAGTATTCACTGCTGGGGCTGGGGAGCCCCTCAACGGCAGCGGCGAAGGGCCCGCGCGCCCGGGCCTTGCCGGTGGGGAGCGCCACGTGCCACCTCGCCTTCCCCCGCCGGAAGCTGCAGGCCTCGGCCCCGCCCATTGCGGGGTGAGGCGTTAACGTCCAACGGCTTCGCGCGAGGCCGGAGGCGCGCCGTAGGTGGGAAGGGGGTTGTGGGGGGCTGGAGTGGGCGAGGTGGGCTTTAGCTGAACGCAGGGACTGGACAGTCGTCCCTCAACTCTTACGTTTTAGTCTTGAAGTTGTTCCTTGGTTCATTTTAGGTCCTTCCCACATTCCTCATTTGACATTAGAGGAAACTAAACCCATAAAGAAAGGGATTATAAAAGGATTTTATTTTGCTGATAGGGATTAACTGCCTGTGAATTACAACCCTATACAAAACTGGGAACCTTTTGAGAATACAAAGGGTTAACTTGTTAGCATATACTTTTTCTTACATCACTGGCGCCAGCTGGTTGGCTTTCTTTTCAGAGCCATTTCTTTGTCATGATTTGTTCAACCTGGCTATTTTTTTTTATAATTTTATTTATTTATTTATCTTTTCCCCCAAAGCCCCAATAGATAGTTCTATGTCATAGTTGCACATCCTTCTAGTTGGTGTATGTGGGACATGGCCTCAGCATGGCGGGAGAAGCGGTACATTGGTGCACGCCTGGGATCTGAACCCTGGGCTGCCAGCAGCGGAGCGCACGCACTTAACCGCTAAGCCACCGGGCCGGCCTTAACCCGGCTATTCTTGAGTGGAGAACGAGAAATCAAATTGAGATGTAGGTTCGGGGGCACTTCACAAACCACTTGACACTGTCTAGCACACCAGCCTTGTAGCCTGAGCATCAAACTTGTGTCTTACCAAAATTACTAATGGCTACGTGTCACGGAGTTTGGGGATTGGTACTGAATAGCTGAAACCACGAATGTTAAATCTGTGATTGCAACAGTCCTTCTGCATAATTATGGATTGGCCAGAGTCAAAGGCTATATGTTTATCTAAACGCTACCTTATGGTTTCAGTACTGTGAACAAAAGGAGTGTTCAGCTAATGATGGTGGGAAAATGCATCTCTCTCCCTAAATTATGAGAATAGCTATGCATTTCTAGATCTGTGCTTTTCTAAATCTTTTTGTCCCACGCCCTCACACCCACCCTCAATTCTACCATTGTAAAGTCTTCCTGGCCCTACAACAGGGTATGATGTGCATAAGGAACACAGGAGTGGATGTGGCTAAGAATGTCACACATATAAAATTGGGATAATAACAGGAATAGATGTTAATATGTTGTGGTTGAAGATCAAACATAGATGAAGTAACGTTTTAGCTCCTCAAGCTTCTGTTTTTGGCATTCCTTTTTATGTTGAGGTCATACAGCAGGTCTGAAAAAGGAAATGACTAGATTGTTTGATTCTCCCGTTGCAAGAGACTAACAAGTATATTAGTGTTTTTCAGAATGACCTGTGATTGAGATACTCTACAAACTCTGCTTTTCTTTTTTTTTTAAAGATTTTATTTATTTATTTCCCCCCCCAAAGCCCCAGTAGATAGTTGTATGTCATAGCTGCACATCCTTCTAGTTGATGTATGTGGGACGCGGCCTCAGCATGGCTGGAGAAGCGGTCCGTCGGTGCGCGCCCGGGATCCAAACCCCGGCCGCCAGCAGCAGAGCGCGCGCACTTAACCGCTAAGACACGGGGCCGGCCCAACAAACTCTGCTTTTCTAAGCCCCAAATTCATTGAATCAAATCCCTGGTTGCTATCTATGTCAGGTGGAAAGGGCAACTGTGTGTAAATTAAAGCAAGTCATAAGTAACTTGACCAAGCTGGGGCTTAGTTGAAAAATTTTGGCTAATACCACATATGTGTTCTCAGTGGGTATCAACTAGAAAATTTGGGAAAGGGGATGAGGGAATGGAGAATTTTTTTTCCTATTTGTTCCCTCTATAAATCTCAGGAGATTTATATCTGATGATGAAATTAATTGGGGGAAACATGAAGGGGTAGCATGAATAATTAAAATGTACAAGGAACTCAAAATATAATCTTATTAGAACATCTTTATTTTCCAAATATCTTACCAGAGTCACTGATGTAATTTCTTTCTCAGAATTTGAGTTGGGGTGCCTCATCTGTTGCTCTGTTTCAATGTTCTATAAAGATTTCCTTTGCCTTTGGCTTCAGTCCATTAAACTTAATGACCTTAAGACCTTGTTTTTAAGATATAAAAATGAGATGACTATAAACTTATCTCTGGCCATTCTCAAACCTACAGTGCTTGATTTTAATTTTTACTCCATAGTTAGAAAGTAGAAGGTAAAAAGAGCCATCATTTTGCATCTGCATGTCAATCTTATGTGACAAGAGGAATTGAACCATTATTTTAAAATGTTATGGGGCCGGCCCGGTGGCATAGCTGTTAAGTTCACACTCTGCTTTGGTGGCCCAGGATTCACAGGTTTGGATCCCGGGTGCGGAACGATGCACCACTTGTCAAGCCATGCTGTGGCGGCGTCCCATATAAAGTAGAGGAAGATGGGCACGGATGTTAGCCCAGGGCTAATCTTCTTCAAAGACAAGAAAATGTTATGACATGGAAATAGTTTAAGGGGCTGCTATAAATTGATTAAGAGACATTGGAGGCAGAGAATGAGTGTTGAGATTACTAAGAAGTAAGGAGAAAATGAAAGAGGGAACAGGAGGGCTGTTTCTGCCATTGCTAGACACATCACCTTGGCCAATTCAACTCTAAAACCTGTTTTTTGTTAGTAAAGTAGGGACAAAAATGCCTTACCTGCTGATAGTGCAGGGAAATTGGGACGATCAGAGATAATGTACAAAGGTGCTTACGGTTTCCCCCTTTAGCTCCAGGTTTTGACAGCGTTAGAGAGGCAACAGCTTTGAACACATTTATCACATGTATACTTATGTATGTTTCTAGCTCCTAATTCAAATTATTTGGAAAAGCTTTTTAAATGTTGAACCTTTGGAGGGAGTTCTGCTTCTATAGTCAATTGCTTTGTAGATGTTTTGAATCAAGTGGTGGAAGGGAGTAGTCACATCAGTTATCCCAGAAGAGGGCACCATTACCCAAGAAATAGAATCTGCTACTGCTAAAGAGGGAACATGCTTCTAAGGTCCCAAAGGAGAAAAATCTGTAGAGGCCAGCAAAATAATCATGAGTTTGTTTTTGATACCCCCATTCTTATTTCATGACTCTCATGTCTCTCTTCTCTGTTCCCTTTAGGCACTAGTCTGTCTTCCCTGTCCCCTAAAAGCCTTCTCAAGTAGCTTGTAGGATGGCTTCTCAAAACACAGTTGTTCCCAGTCTTTTCACTACCACAGCTCTTTCCATTGTTTTTCACTCATGGATCTGACATTTTGAAACATCTGTCTGCTAAATTGCATTTAGTAAAAATTGATTCATGGTTATTCATCTAATCTTTAAGATACAAATGCAGCTTAGCAATGTCATAAAGCATGTGATAGTGTTGCATCACTGAGCTGGTGTGATTTCAGCCACTGGCAAAGAAACTTGACATTTTAGTTAGCAAGGAGTTAGGCAAAGGAAATGTACAATTTCTATTAGGATTTTTGAAATAGTGAAAATAGTTTGCAGAACACAGCCACTTTGAGCATTCTTAGGAGTCTGAGATCCCAGATGAGGATGAACCAGATCTCACATTGTATGAATGGCTACAATAAGCCCATGCATTGCATATTTTATTCCTATTTATAATATAAGGTATTAACTGAAAATTTGTCAGCCAAAGGCATAATACCTCCCCCAGGCATATCTGGATCTTGACTGCCAATACTTTCTATAATCTTAACATTAAAAGACTGACTCTAAATGGAGGAATTCCAGACAACCTGGAAAAAGACGGTAGGCCTACTATATTGTATTTACCTATCAGGCAAGTTTTGTGGATATATAAATATATAAAAATATACACATATACATTTATAACTATATTAGGTGCCTTCCGCATTGGGCACTTTCAATAGATTATCCTCAAATCTTACAACAATCTTGTAAGGTAGATATTACTGTCTCCCTTTTACACATAAGAAAACCGAATCAGAGAAGTGTAGTAACTTTCTCCATTACACAGCTACCAAAGACTGGAATTGGGATTCAAACTTGTCTGACTCCTAAGCTCAGGTCATCATGCTGCCTCAAGAGAACAGTTTTCTCATTAAAGAATAGACTACGAGGGAGAAGAGAAATCAAGAACTAAAGTTTCCACACACAAAAATTAATATTGGGAAAAAATGCAAGTCACCTCTTTTAGAGAATAAGCTCCCAAACAACAATTTAATAACACATATACCCATCATTAACATCTGAAGTCAGATGTTGTGTTTTGTAGAAGGGAAGTTTATTGGTTTCATAATAGGCTTCATTTAATGCACTTAGAGAGTGTAATAATGCATCCAGTGGCAAAATTAGATGGATTTCATTTGGTCCCTAGATGTGGCTAGAGCCACAAAAAAGTTTGGATTCCTCACTCTTCTAAGAAACTTGTCCAGGTCCAAAATCAAAGACAGACTGAGATGTTGGTGCTTCTTTTTCCAAGGATTGGCAAGGATAGGTGCAGAAACGGAGAACTGGAAGCAATACTCAGGAATCTTACATGAGTTCAGTATTTCACAGGATGCTCACTGAATTATTTTTTCTTTTTTATTTATTGAGATATATTTGACATATAACTCTCACTGAATCTTATAAGCACAAAACCTTAGAGTTGGAAGGAATCTTCAAAATCATCTAGTGCAGACACCCTGTTAAGCTAAGTACTGGAAATACCTCTGCAACATAACCAGTCAAGGGATCACCAAGACTCTGCTTGAATGCCCTAAGTAATGGGAAATTCATTTGTTTACAAAGATGTCTATTTCCTCTATAGATGGTTTTGTCTAATGGGAAGTTCTTCATACTGAGCTGAAATCTTTCTCCTAACTTCTATTCACTGATGCTGATTCCAAGCTGTAAGACCCCCTAAAACAATGCCTCCCCTACAAGGCTTTTCTATCTAGATTACCCTTCTTGATACTTTGCCCAGGGTTTTGAATGTCCTTGTGACCACAGCTAATCTTGGAATGCCATGGTAGGTTGGTTAGGGATACTGAAAACCAGTAGTCAGGAGAGAGTGGTCCAACCACTGCAAAACAGAGCAGCGAATCTGATCTCCCCTCCTCTGCACAGCCATAGGGCCTGGAGGCAGCTCTCCAGTGCTGAGCTTCATTCTGGCCTTCACTGTTATCAGGATGATGAGAGTTGGAAAGAGGCACTCTCCAATTATTCAATCATCTTTGAGATTTAAGGCCTTGACAATCCTTAGAAACCTTTTAGAAGAAACATCCCTTTAACCACAGTCAGCATTAGCATCTACCCAATATGCCAAAACCAGTCTCGACTGCTCCACGTTCCCCAAACCAAGACAACTAACCATTCCACTACTTGGTCTGAAAAGGCCTGCCAGAACAAACTCTGGCAAAGCTAAGGTCTTATCATGAGTGGAAATGGATCAAATGTAGATGGACTATCAGCCATCTTCCATCTTTTCTCTAAATCTCTAATTCAGAACCACTCCTTCACTCACAAGCAATTCTGCAACCATTCTGCTTCCCTTCTATCTCCACCATCTGAGAACATCCTGACTTCTCACTGCCATGCGATAGAGAGCCTCAAATATGAGAAGGAACCAGAGAAATAGTAGAGCCAGATGCCTACTGCCATAGGTATTTTGGACACTGTTAGTCAGTCACAACGTGGAGCCGTTTGTTCATGTTCAAGCTGGTCGCAGAGAAGATCCTTGGCAGCCATGAATGGATGGAAGGAATTCTTGTTGCAAAGTACCCAAGACATCTACATAAATTCTTTCTGATAACGATAAAATACTTTAGCTGCAAACAAAGTATCTATACAACCCTAAAACACTATTTTCTGGATTTTTGTGTGAAATCTGGTGAGATCCACCTAACATAAGAACTCAGCTTTAGTGTGGATAGACAAATTCACTGCTGGGTACTAAATTAACATCCTACATATTTGAGAAACTAATGAATGTCTAAAAATTCGAGTTAATTACATTTAATTGGAAAAGGACCAAGGATTCCATGTTTTTTTTAATTGCAAACAATCTACATATTCCCAATAAATTCATAGTAAAATAAGCTAAAAAAAAAAAAAAGCTTCAAAATCTCAAAAAAAGAAAAAAGCCAGTAACTAGAACAAAATATGTAATGAGATTAATAGCATATATGCTTGGCTTTAGAGAATTCTTGTATACTCAGTTGATTAAAACATTCTAATTAATGCTGTACATTTTTACAAAGAAAAAGTTTCTAGAAGGACAATAAGAATTAAACATTTATGACTGGAGTTAGCTGTAGTAAGGGATTGGATGTGAGTGTTTGACTGCTCTTTGTGCCTTCAAAGTTCTGCAGAAAATTCTGTCTTCTTTTTAGTTCATCCAAAATGACTGAATTATTAGATGCCAGACTCTGTGTCCTAAAGATATTAAAAATAATAGAATTATTATCTTCAAAAGAGGCCTGGATTTCTAATCAAGGCCTTATACCTTCATTTGTTACTTTGAAGCAGTCTAACATTTACTAACACTAAGGTGGATTGATACGTTAACCTTTAAAAATCTAAAGTGCTCTTCACATTTTAAAGGTTTCCCATAGCACGTCAGTTACTTGACAGCTGCTTTCCAAGAAGTTCATATTTTCTGAACATCTGTTCTCAGGTCCAGTATCAAGTATAATCTAGTCAGAAACAATAAGTTCCCTGAGCAACTGAAGTGACCAATATCTTGTTGTATAATTTATTTCTTTTTTGAGGAGTCGTATGGAAGAGAAAAGCCAACTATATTTTTCATATTGACAATGTTTCTTTCCTAGGAGCTGTAAGCTATGTTAACCCCTTATCTAACACATCTGCCTTGCTTCAGCCAAGTCACACTACTGTTTGGGCATTTTGCTTTTGACATTCCTCTTTGACCACCTTACCTCCTCGCCATCCCTTGTCCATTACATTAAGATATGTCTCAAAAATGTGTCCTCCAATAAGTCTTCCCCTACACAGCCCATCACTCTTAATTCCACATCTCTTTGGCAGTTATGAAGAGTTTATGCTTTGTTCTTGCATTTAATTTGTCTGTTTATTGGTCTCCTCAACTACACTCAACTGTAAGCTTCCTATAGGTAGCAACAATATCTTGTTCATCTCTGTTCTCCTAATCCTTATAACAGTTGGCACATAGCTGATATTCAACTTCCCTCCCTTTTCCTCTACGTCTTTAATGATTATAGTTATGTGTCTTTCAAGAAAACCATATTATAAGCAATTTTTAAGAAATTAAATTTCTCAAGATTTTGCAAATTTAAATTCTCAATTGCATGTCAAGGATTAATTTCCCTTATCTGTTTTGGTTTTTTTGTTGTTGTTGCTTTGCCAGAAAGAAAGGGAATCCATGGCTTGTTGGTTTACACCACCATTGTTTACTTTGGAGACAACATATTTTGATACTTTAAAGACTTAATATGTTGTGACAATATGGATGGACATTGAGGGTATTATGCAAAGTGAAATAAGTCAGAGGGAGAAGGTCAAATACCGTATGATTTCCTTCAGTAAGTAGTAGACAACAACAACACATAGAGACTGAGATTGGATTGGTGGTTACCAGAGGGGAAGCGGGGAGGGAGGAGGACAAAAGGGATAATTCAGCACAGGTGTGTGGTGATGGGTTGTAATTAGTATTTGGTGGTGAACATGATGTTATCTATGCAGAAATAGAAGTATAATAAAGTACACCTGAAATTTATACAATGTTATACACCAATGTTACTGCAATAAACAAAAAATTAAAAAAAAAAAGTCCATCTTTTCCTCACTAAAAAAAAAAAAAGACAATATGAATTAAACTCTTGTTTTAAGCAGAAAAGATCTGTTCCACAATAAAGAAGTAAAGGTATATTTTAAAAATGCAGACTTCCAGAAATTTAGCCTAAGTTATAAATAATCAGAAATATCTGAAAATATTTATATGGAAAAAAATCACTGAAAATTGATTTATTATAGCAAAAAATTGGGAATCTAAATGTCAAAGGAAGGAAAATAATGGTTATATAAGTTATTATATACATAATGGAATACTAGGCAGCCATTAAAAAGAATGAGCTGGATCTATACATACTGATTGCAGGATATCCATAATTTATGTGAAAAAAGAAAGCCACAGCTCTAAGTTGGTTGTTAAAAAATAATTATATTTATAAATGCATAGAAAAATTCTGAAAGAATATATACCAAACTGTTAACAATGTTTAGGTCACCTCTGTGGAATGGGAATGGGAAAGGTTGGGGAAGGAAGACTTCTAGTTTTACTTTTTACATTTCTATATTTCTTTACTTTTTCAAAAGGAGGTAAACAATAATTTTATATAGTAAAAAAACTAATAAAGGCATATGCCAAATTTTAAGATGACCTTTTAGAAAACTATTTAATAACATGAGGAGAATGTTCATGATATACCTTTTTGAAGAAGAAGAAGATTGGCCCTGCACTAACATCTGTTGCCAATCTTCCTTTTTTTCCTTTTTTCTCCCCAAAGCCCTAGTACTTAGTTGTGTATCATAGTTATGGAGTTGTAGCTCTCCTATATGGGACGCTGCCTCAGCATGGCTTGATGAACGGTGAGTAGGGCTGCACCCAGGATCCTATATAGATCAATATGTTCAGACTGAAGTGTTATAAATACACCAAAAAAAAAAAAGGATTTTTAAAGAATATCTAGATGGTAGGGTGATTATATGTATTTTTTTTTAAAATACTTTTCAGTACTTCTCAAATGTTCCATTATGATCACATTACTTTTATAATGTGAACAATGTTATTTAAACAAATTGACTTGGAGAATATTAGTGGAAAGTAGCCGTATCTCTTTCTCACCCTGTGTAGAACAAGGAATATAAGGGAAATCTTTCAACAGTCAGTTCAGGAAGTGCTTGGTTTATAGCAGTTCCATCCTAGTAAGATTTAGTAGTAGTGGAACAAATTTTGGTTAACATTAAAAATGAACTCTATCCTATTATATAAGAGAGTTCACTGTAGCTTTATACAATTTATTCAGTAAAGGCTGGCAGAATTGTATCATAAAATGCTTATTCAGGAGTCTCCCACTAGGTAACTCAATACACCCTTAATTTTAATAATTCCTGTGGGATAGCGGCTAATCAAACACTTTTGTATGCACTTACCGTGGAGAATCTATTCCACTATCTCCTGCCATGCTATGATTTTCTGTTCCTTCCAAGTGACTATGTTTTTGTTGGATATCCTGAGCCAACACTGGCATAGGTGAAGTGTTGAAAAGGTCTAACTTCTGTGTGAACTCTTTTCTCATTTCCTGATTCTGAGCATTCTGACTCCAACTAGCTGATTTCTTTCCTGTGCCACCAACAGAGTCGTGTAGAGTTTCAGCTTCAGAACTGGCGTTCCTTGTGCTATAGTAATCAAAGATACTTCCATCAACAGATGCTAAGGCCTGTCCACATTTAGCAACACTAGGTTGCTCTTCATAGTTAAAACTGGACCAGGTCCCTGAATTGAGGCCACAGCTTTCAGCAGAGAGATTAGGTTTTTGGCTTTCACCTGAGTTAGGGAGCAATCCCGTAGGTTTGTAACATTCATTTCCTTTAAGCACCTGAGGCTCAAACCTATGTATTTTGCTGTTGTACTCAGTCAGAGATCTTTCAGTCACCTTTTGTTTTCCTAAATGATTCCACTTCCTTCCGCCTGTAAAGGAATACTGAATGTAGCCAGGCAGCATTTGACATAAGTCATCATTTTCAGAAAAGTCATTCTCATCTAGATATAATGAACTGCAGGCACCATCATCATCTTCCACTTCATTCTGATACAAGGCCTGGTCATCATCAGAGGGCCCTTCATTTTCTAGACTTACAGTCTCTCCTTCCTGGACAAATGCCTTTCTCATTAGTGTTTCTTCTGAGTCTGTGTCTTGTCTCTCAGGTTGTCTCAAACGGTTCGCACCAACTGGATAATCCAAAAGACCAAGATTTTGGAACTGGTGCATTGTTTTATCAATTAATCTACAAGCAGAGGATGCTTGGTCTAAAGAGGAGGAACCTCGTGATGGCAGGACATGTTGGGTTTCTTTTATCTCCTCTAATGTGTTAAAGTGAGAATAATTTTTTTTCAAGACTTCAGAGTTTACCTCATTTTCTCCACCATACACATCATATCTCAACATGCTTTCTCTAAAGGAACAGCATTTACTATCACTTTGCAAAACACTACATTGAGAGTAATTTAAGAGGTGATCCCTAAAGTCATCACCAGTAGATTTGACAGTGGAATTATGCATATAAATGGACTCCGCCTTCAGTTTATCATTACATTGTTCAGCATACAGCTGTTTGGCTTCACTTTCAAAGATTCTTGAGGAATCCAAAGACCCTGACCTTTGGGAAGACTCTCCATTCGGTCCAGTCTGACTGGGTTTCAGATCACCGGTCTTCTGGATGGTGTGCCCTTTGGTAATTGGGCTCCCTCGGTGAGACAAACCCTGGAAAGGATTACTGATTCGCTTTTTGTAAATCAAATGGGAACCTAGCACTGACGTATTCTCACCAAGTGGTTTCTGAACTACTGCTTTGTTTAGCCTCTTAATTCTGGGGGTGGACTCTGTAGCAGGAAGCTTGGGGCGTTTGTCCAGTCTAATGCTTCCTGGCTGAGGCTCACTTCCCTGACTCCTGGCTTTGTGTCTATCCCTATGAGAATGGCCTCGCCTTTGAGTCTTTGCAGACCGGCCCTGCCTTTTCTTAACTCCCTCTCTTGAAGGATACTTGTGCTTGACTGTCAGCATATCAGTGGAAGTGCCCTGGCTATTATATTTTTTCTTTTCTTCATATTTTTGCATAAGGACGGTATGTTTGATTAAATTGTCAACAGTCAGAACAGGATTAATTCGTTTGATTATCTCATGTTCGATGTCTCGAGGGATATTGTCCAAGTTGTCTTCATCTCGAACGGGCCATTCTTCCGGTGGGAACTGGGCAGAGAAATTGCTGTGCTGTGTTCTAGACTTCTCCCTTCTGGATATACTGCGCCAGAAGAGGCTAAAGCCAAACTTCTTGCCTTTTTCTCTCTCTTTTGTGTATGGTAAAGGTTTGTTGCTCTCACAGACGTGATTCTCCTCAGACACTGAAACTGCTCGATTCTGTACCAAAGATTTGGATTCCCCAGGACCTTTCTGGCCTTTTCTGGTCACTTCTGCAGCAGCCGGTGGTTCCTGTCCATCTTGAGTGCACACATCAGGGAAACACCGGCACGACTGACAATGGGAAATGGGAGCAGCATTTTCTTTGGCTAACTCTGCACAGCTCTCCATGCTCACCAGATATGTAACGCAAGTTGGCATTGGGTGACTTTCATCTGACAGGACTCTCTTATTTTCTTGGAGGTTTATATTTGTGATGAAGTAAGTATGAGGAGTAACTATGAAGTATCCTTCTCCAGTGTGATAAATCTTCCTTTCTTTAATCAGAATTCCCAGAGTGGTATAGAGAATATCTTGAGATGGAACTGCAATGCCTAAAACAAACAAAAATTTTACAGTGATAGATTTTGAATAAGAAACATGCTAATGAGTGAAATCAGTAACTCAGAAATGACCACACATTTGCTTGATGAACCCAGAGCTAACTGTAACACAATATTTATAACTGCAATGCCAAAGAAACATTAATAATAATCATAATTTAACTGAATAATAGGAATATAATTTGGTCTACACAAAAACATATGGCTAGCTTAATGGTTAAGTAGAGGAAAAAAATCTGAGTTCACTCAAATACAAACACCAAGTTATACAACCCCATTATAAGTTTAAATTTTGACTAAGGAAAGCATTCTTGAGAGCAAACATGGGAGTTTTTGAAAACCAGAGTCTCATAGCTCAAGTCATAATAAGAAATCTAAAGAGAAAATGAAAACCAATCTGCTTGGGTGAGGGCACATCACCTAATGTTTGGATTATGGTGGTTTTTCAAACTGAGACGGTAACAAATAATTTTAAAAGAAATTCCCTTTTCCAAATAGCAGGATTCAAAACTATATTTATATTGTGAAAACAATGTTAAAAATGTTTATATAAGTATAACACTGGAAGAAAATACATCAATATGTTAACATGGGTTTCCTTTGGGTGGTGGTACTGTAAGTGGTTACTTTTCTATATTTCCTGGATTTTTCTACAATAAATACATTCGTTTTATAATGGGAAAAATAAAAAATACTCTTCTACATTCGTGCACTGGGATATCATGTAGCCATGAAAAGAATGAGGTAGATCAATATATGCTAATATGGAAAGATCTCCAAAATATGTGTTGTTTTTTTTTTTTTGTGAGGAAGATCAACCCTGTGCTAACATCTGCCAATCCTCCTCATTTTTGCTGAGGAAGACTGGCCCTGGGCTAACATCCATGCCCATCTTCCTCCACTTTATATGGGATGCCGCCACAGCATGGCTTGCCAAGCAGTGCGTCGGTGCATGCCCGGGATCCGAACCAGCAAACCCCGGGCCGCCAGAGCGGAGTGCGTGCACTTAACCGCTTGTGCCACTGGGCCAGCCCCCAAAATATGTTTTTAAGGTAAAAAAGGAAAGGTGCAGAGAGAATGTATAGAATGATACAACTTATGTTATAAAAAAAGATACATATACTCAAATAAGATTTATGAAAGTATACATAAGAAGCCATAAGCAATAGAAGTTGTCACCTCTGGGAAGTGGCAATGGAAGAATAGGAGGCGGGGGGAGAAGATGCACTTTTCCTTTTTTGCTTTGCACCCGTTTCTACAGAGTCTGATTTATTTATTGCCATAAATGTTATTTTTTAAAAGGAAAGTAAAAGAAATACCCTTATCAAATTTGTTGATGCAGGCCTTTTCCTGGCAGGGCTCTAATATAAGGTTCTATAATAGAAAAACAAAAATTGGATATCGCCCAGTTTATGTCAAAAATTGGATATCGCCCAGTTTATGTGTTTAAGATAATTTATAAATAGAAACCAAAAACATGCAATGAACTAATAGAGAAAAACTTTTTACTCTACCTGGGTAATGTTTCATCAAATGCTCCAACAGCGATTCCTGTGTTACTACAGTCTGAGCGGCATTCATATCAGATATAGCACAGCAAAGAACTTCAGCCAAAGGTACAAACTGAGATTGAGCTATTGGATTCATTTGCACTGGAAAGACATCACCTAAATTGGAGATTTAAAAAAAAAAAAAAAAAGAAAGGTGATAAATTTGATGTGGAATAAAATATTTGGAATGAAGGATAGGTAGGATAGTTATAAAGACTGAATAGCTGGTAGACTGCTATTCTTTCATCAGTCTTTACTCAGAATCTGTTAACATGACATACACAATGATAGAAACTAGGGAAGAAAATGGTTTACATTATGATTCCTACTTTTAACAAGTCTGTAGTATTTGTCACTACTTTACAAGCAAGAGATAGTTAAGTTTCCATACAAAAGGCACAAAGTGCTATCAGAGTTCAAGTCAGACAATGCTTATATGGCAATTCACATCTTTCAAAGCATTTTTTCATATTAGCTATCAGAGACAGGCAAGGATGGAATTATTTCCTTCTTTAAAATATATAAAGCCATAGAAAGCTCAAGTAATTGTCCCAAGGTCTAAATGCAAGTAAAGTAACAGAAATAGGTCTTCCGACTCCTAATCCAGTATTTTCATCATTCCTGATGAATTCCTGATTGGAATAATTAGGATGATTTGAAGAAGGAAAGGGCAGAAGTGTTTTCCAATTAGCAAGAAGACACGGAGCAAAACCATGGAAGGAGGAAAGCATGAAGTATATAAGAGCATAGATACAATTATCCTAGTTGGATAGAGTTTAAGGGTTATATCAGACCGAAGTGGAAGATAAGGCTAGAAATGTAAGCTAGACCATATTGTCTTTCCTTCTTGCCAATGTATTAAATATTCTTCTTAACCTGACATTACTCAGGTTGAGTTTTAGATTCTGCTGGACATCCAAGGGAATCCTCCAATTAATTGGAAATGAAACACCAGAACTCAGGAAAGAGATTTGGCAATCAACTAATAGAGGTAAGATTTGAAGCAAGGAGTGGAAAAAATTCTTTAATAGGAGAGTAAAGAAGAGAGCGAAAGAACACTTAACTAAGAGACTATCTACACTTAAGAGATAGTAGAAATAGGAACCCACAAAAGAGAGAAGGCACAGTAGTGGGGGGTAGAATAGAGAGAACTAAGAGTATGAAAAAAAATGGCTTCAAAACGAATAGAAAGGCCGGCCCGTGGCTTAGCGGTTAAGTGCGCGCGCTCCACTACTGGCGGCCCGGGTTGGGATCCCGGCGTGCTCCGACGCACTGCTTCTCCGGCCATGCTGAGGCCGCATCCCACGTACAGCAACTAGAAGGACGTGGAACTATGACATACAACTATCTACTGGGGCTTTGGGGGGAAAAAAAAAGGAGGAGGATTGGCAATAGATGTTAGCTCAGAGCTGGTCTTCCTCAGCAAAAAGAGGAGGATTAGCATGGATGTTAGCTCAGGGCTGATCTTCCTCACAAAAAAAAAAAAAAAAAAAACGAATAGCAAATCAACAGTGTCAAATGCTTGAAAGAGATAAAAAAAGGTTGAAGGAGGAAGAAAAAAAGCCATTGGATTTCTTGCTTGGAAGGTGACCATTGGTGACACATGGAGAACTGTCTCCATAGAACAGAACATAGAAACTAAATGTCAACTTGAAGAGAAGCCAGTTGGTGAGAAACAAGTGAAGTTAATGCATCTTCCTTTGAGAGCAGCGTGCTCTGAGAGCAGGGTCCTTCCTCGCCGCTTTTGACATTTTGGGCCAGATAGAGGGTGACCAACTGTCCCAGTACACCCAGGACTGAGGGATTTCCTGGGACGTGGTATTTTCAGTACTATAACTGGCAAAATCGAAGGCAAACTGGGATGGTTGGTCACCTTTGCCAGATAATTATTTGGTGGGGGGGGGCGGGTCTTGTGCATTGTAGGATGTTTAGTAGCGTCCTTGGCCTCCATACACTAGATGCCAGTAGCATCTCCCACAGTTGCAGCAAACAAAAATGTCTCCAGACATTGTCAGTTGTCCTGGAAGAGGGAGGATGCAAAACCACCCCAACTGTAAATCACTGTTCTAGACCAATTGTTGGAAAAATCTGATTGCGGAAGAGGAGAAACAGAACACACACCAGAAAGGAGTAGGATCAAGTGAATGTGAATGTGTGTGTATGCTGTGATTTTCTTAAAAGAGGATCTCTGCACATTTGGATGCAAAAAGGAAGGGCCTAGTGGAGATGATGGAAATGATTCTGGGAAAGAGAACACCAGTCAGTAAGACAGCAAGATCCCAAAGGAGAGGAAAGGGAAAATGTATAAAAGGCACAGGTAGAAGAACTATCTTAGAAATGAGGAAGATATTACTTCCTATGAGAACTGAGAAAAGAATAAAGGATGGCAGAAGACCAGAAATATACTGAGGCATAGAAGGAAAAAAATATTAGAACAGCAAGGTCATCTGATCTCTGTAAAGTTAGACAGGGAGAGAGAGGAAGGAATGGGAGGAGGAAAAAAAAGGGGAATGAGGAGATGAAGAGTGGCAAGGAGGTTTGAAGAGCTATTCTTGGAGTATACTAGGAAATTAAAAAATGAATACAAAGATTATGAAGGAAGCTTCAGTCTCAAGGTGACTTAAGTGTGGTTTCTGGCAGACAAAGTGGCAATCTGGAATAAAAAAGGATGAAAACCAGGGAGGCCAGCAGTGCTTTTAAAACTTTAAGGTGCATAGGAGCATCACTAGGGGATTGTGCTAATGTGCAAATTCTGATTCAGAAGGTCTGAAGCAGAGCCTATGATTCTGCATTTCTAACAACCTCCCAGGTGATGTCCATGCTGCAGGTCTGAGGATCACTTTTTGGAGTGGTAGAGGGTTAGGGTGAAAATGATAGCAATGTTAAGGTAGCTAACCATTCAACAAATAAACATGGCCCTGGGGCTGCATGGAGAGTTAAGTGTAGCCAGAGGGAAGCCAAAGAATTGAGAAAACTCGGCTATACCCTGCAGTTGACTCTCCCAGTGACAGTGCAGAAGCCAGTACATTGTACTGGTTGTTGAGAGGGAAGGAAGGTGGTGAGAGAATTGGTGAGGAGTGAAGAGTTGGAGCCAAAGCTGGTAAGTGGCCCTTAGTACTTATTTTATCTGCATGAAAATAAAGAACTTCCATAAGGAAACGGATAAGCAGTTTTGCTGTTATAGATTACATTGGTCTGTTTCCTTGTTCTCTGCTCTCTGAAGCTCCTGTTTCCTGAAGCTTCTCCATCTAGGGCTGGGGCATCTCTGGCCTTGGAAGGTCACAACATGAGGAAGAATAGCTGCTTTGGCAGCCTGGGGACGGATCTGTTGGTGAGCTTGTGGCTATCCCACTGGGTGATGCTAAGATACCTATAGTATTCTGGGAAGCTAGGATAAATGGCAAATCACTTACTTAGTATTTCAAAAGGCAGTGATAAGACATGGTGCTCTGAAATGTCCAAGTGGGACATTAATTGACCTAAAACTCAAAGTCCTCCTAGAAACTCTACCTCTCACCTAAGGGTAATAAACCTCTCTCCCTGTCTTCATTCCCTCTTTGCCTCTCTTTCTTCTCCTCTACATCTGAGATTTACTTTCTTCTCTTTTATCTCCCTCCTCAACGAGACAAAATATAGAATTAAAGTACAATTTCAAATATTTTTATGCTTCTTTAACATAACTCTATGTGCTTAACTTAAAATAAGTGACTTGAGGGGCCGGCCCCATGGCTTAGCAGTTAAGTGTGCGTGCTCCGCTGCTGGCGGCCTCGGTTCAGATCCCAGGCGCGCACCGAGGCACTGCTCCTCCGGCCATGCTGAGGCCGCATCCCACATACAGCAACTAGAAGGATGTGCAGCTATGACATACAACTATCTACTGGGGCTTTGGGGGGAATAAATTTAAAAAATTGTTAAAAAAATAATAAAATAAGTGACTTTAAATTTGTTTTTTTACTTTTTTTATTGATGTTTTAATAGTTTATAACTGTGAAATTTTGGGTTGTACATTTTTGTTTGTCCATCACCATATATATGTCTCCCTTCACCCCTTGTGCCCACCCCCAACCCCCACTGCCCCTGGTAAACACAATACAGTTTTCTCTGTCCA